TGAGATAGGGTCTCACTATGCAGTTCAGGCTGGCCTTGAGCTCACTTTGTAGCCCAGGCTGGTCTCGAACTGCAATGATCCTCCTGCCTCAGCCTCCTAAGTGCTTGGATTACAGATATAAGCCACCATGACCAGTTCATTTTGTTCTTTGAGATAGGGCCTCACTATGTAGTCCAGGCAGGCCTCAAACTCATGGCGACACTACTGCCTCAGCCTCCTGAGTGCTGGGATTATAGGTGTGTACCACCATACCTGGCAAGACTCGAATCCTGTTTTAGTATATACCAGAGGCCTGGCAAATCCGGGTCTGAGTGATTCTGAACCCCGAACACTGCCCTTCCAACCACTCCACTAGATGGCCTTTTGAAGGAGCACCCACCAAGAAGGGTGAAGTTGAGGCTGCCGATCCCTTAGCCTTTAAGGGCCCTGCTGTTCTGGGGCCACACATCCCACTCACCCAGGGAGCAGGGCCTGCTGTCCGGCTCGTCAGGACAGGCACACACGAAGTCTGAGGCTCTGGCAAAGCAGAGGTGGGTGCAGCCACCGTTGTTCACCCCACAAGCATTGGTCCCTGGAGGCACATAGCGGATGAGCATCTGGGCCCGGACAGAATCAGGCCTCCCGATTTAGCCTGACCCCACTTCCAGGGACAGCAGGGCAAGGGGGGAGATGGCAAGCCTACAGGCTCTAGGGCTGCCCCAAGCCTCCAGGTCACTAGCTGTCCTCTGGTGGCCACAACCCATCCTGCCGAGGGTGAGGAGGCAGGCTCGGAACCGGGCCCACCTGTCTGGCGCTGAGGGGAGACCACGATGATGTCCATGAGCCCCTCCACGTTGGCCAGCACTGTCTCCTTGCTGCGGCCTGAGTACTTGTCCACACGCTGGATGGACTTGGTCTGCCAGTCTGTCCAGTAGATCCACCTGTCCTGCTGCTCGTGGGGACGCCAACAAGGGGAAAATAGGATGTGGCTGTCAGACCCCAGGGCAGCTTCTCTGCCCATGCCCTCTGCCCAGGGACCCTCTGGATCAACCTGTGTGTGCCCTGGAAATGTCCCCAAAACCGTACGCTCCACCATTCCCTGCTCCACGCTGTACCCGAGCCGGCAGTCATTTCTGCACTGGAGTTTTCATGCTCCATGGTGATCTGTTTACATATCTGTCTGTCTGTCCCTCCTGAGGATGTTCTTCAAGGACGGCTCCCTCCCTAGCCAACAGGAGTGAACTTGGGGGTCCTCTGAGTCCCTGTCCTTAGGAAAGAGCCCTTTTCTCAGAGCTCTGGTCCATATCCTCCACTTAACATCTCCAGGCAGCTTCCTTCTAATGCAGTGATAGTGAAATTCTCAACCGGCCAATGGAAGGGGCAGTGAAGATGTCAAAAATGCCATCTAAGAGTAATTAAGATGCCCAGAGATAAATGCATTTAGTGCTTGCTATGTGCCAGGCACTATACCAAGGCTTTGGAGATACTCCTGGAGGATACCTTTAGCAAACTGATTAGTTTCACATGTCACTGAAGCTTAGGTTTCACTTCTCGTTCAAAGTCACACTTATTTAATAACACAGATCGCTCTCGGACCCGGGTCCTTGGCTCACTGAGGGCACTCAGACACTGACCGACTGGATGCCTGAAAACGCTGGCTTTAGCCACTCAGCCCTGCCTCAGCTAAGCCAGCTGCCTGAGCTCCGGCGTTAGGATCAAGCAGGGTACTCATCAGAATGCACATTCCTGGGCCCAGAGACCTGCGCTGTGACAAGCTCCAAGTGGATTCTACACACCGCCACTGAGAGCCACGCCTGTGAACACCAGAACACGGGGCTATGGGGCAGGAGTGGCGCTTGATGCCTTGGGATGCACAGGAAACGGCCCATCGGGAGGTTTAGCGGCCTCTTTCCCGAGCGCATACCTGTGTGAGCGCAAAGGGGTGTGACACGTGGCTGACCAGGACCTGCCGCAGCTTCCCGCTGAGGTCGGCGCTCTCGATCCGGTCCAGGTGTGCATCTACCCAGTAGATCCTGAGAAGAGAAAGGGAGGTGTGTGGCTGCCCTGAAGGCCAGCCTGGGAGCCCAGCTCTTCCTGCAAGGAGTGCTGCATTCCTGGAAGCAACTGGCAAAGGAGCTCAACCGACAGGGCTGTGAGCAGGTAAGAAGCACTAGGGATCCGAGTCCCCAGGCTGAAAAGGCAGGTTGGCCATTCATCAGCAGGGAGGCCCAGGAAGCCTAGCGGCCTCCGGAGTCACCCCCGGACTCCTCCTCAGCAATCTGGTCGTCCTCTGACGCCTGCTGGAATAGCTGAGCCACAATTCTTTGCTGTTGGAAAGCTTTCTATGCGCTCACTGCCCTACTCCTCTCCTCGGCCCGCCCCTTCCCCGGAGGCTGTGCGGAACAGGAGGCCTACCTGCGGGTATCGTAGTCCAAGGTGAGGCCATTGGGCCAGCCCAGGTCTGTGTTGATGAGGACTTTCCTCTCGGAGCCATCCAGGTTCGCCCGTTCGATCTTGGCAATGTGGCCCCAGTCCGTCCAGAAGAGGTATCTGGGATGTAGCAGTAGTGTCACCCCCAAGGCATGGGGAGGTGGCACCCAGAGGTGGGCAGGACACAGGGAGGAGCCAGTGCCACTCATACCTAAGCATTCCCACCAAGGGCGTCTCTTCTCCCTGGTCACAAACTTACCCCTTCCTGGGAAAGACGGCAATGGCCCGGGGCTCATCCAGGCTGTTGTTGATCAGTACTTTGCGGCAAGAGCCATCCAACCGTGAGGCCTCGATGGTATTTCGGCCCGTGTCTGTCCAGTACAGGTTCCTGGCCACCCAGTCCACTGCCAGCCCATCGGTGGTCTTCAGTCCCTGCCCGATCACCGTCTCCATGTTGCTGCCGTTCAGGTCGGCCCGCCTTTGGGAGAGTCCAGGGTTGGGTGAGTGACCGGGTGGACCAGGAATACCCAGAAACTCCTTCTGTCAACAACTGGACCTTTGCTAGACTGTAAGCTCCACAAGGACAGAGATGGTTACCTGCCAGAACCTCCCTCAGCTCCCAGTGTAATAGGTGCTCAATAAAATATCTGCAGAACAAATGAGTGACTTCTTAGAAAGACAGTGATTCCTACGAATGGGGAACTGCAGGGGTTTGGGGCCTGTATCTTGCTGGAAAACAGGTTAATCATCCCCCACCTATCTTTAGGAGGAGACAAGGATGGCTAGGGGGTGACTGCAGGAAGGCAGATTTGTCACAACCTACCTGTTCATTTTTATAGAGCCCGATACCAGGGAACTCCTAAACCACAAACTACATATTCCCACCTACTCCCACCGTGACATTCTTTTTTCCTTCTCCCCAGTACTGAGGATTGAATCTAGACTCTCATACCAAGCTATATCCCAGCCCTTTTTTATTTTGAGACAGGGTCTCTTTCTAATTTGCCCAGGCTGGGCTTGAATTTGCAATCCTCCTGCCTCTGCCTCCAAGAGTGGTGGGATTATAGTCATGCACTGCCACGCTGAGCTCAGCATGAGATTCTAATATTCCCCTCAGGAGAAAAACAAGACAAATAGCCCTATTCCCCATGTGAGAATCTCTGTCATGCTAACCTGCCCTTAGTGGTAGCACGGCATCATGTTACTGAACAGTGCTGGAATCAAATTTAATGAACAGCTGGGTGTGGTGGTGCAGGGTGCAGGCCAATAATCCCAGCACTGGGAGGCTGAGGCGGGAAGCTCTCAGTGAGTTCAAGTCCAGCCTGGGCTACATAGTGAGACTCTTCTGTTTCCAAAAACAGTAACTTTATAAATCACCATAAGCCTTGATGTTTGGCCAAGGTTCCTGCCAAGTGATAGGGCCTACCTGTCAGTGGGCCCCGGGGATCCCTGGAGCACCCTCAGGGCCCAATGCTAGATGCGGGAGGCTCTACATCCCCAGCCTAACTTTACCTGTTTTTAAAAATTTATTTGTTTGACCTATGGAGTTTCCATATACTTTTTAAAAATTATCTTGTTAGGCAAAACAAAATTTTATAACAAAATAAGAGTGTAACAATAGTTATACCTATAAATATGATCATTTCACTTAAACTACTAGTTTATCTCAGTTCACAGAAAAGAGAGGTTTTTTGTTTTTTTTTCTTGTCTTTTTGAGACAAGGTCTCACTATGCAATTCAGGCTGAACTTGAACTCACTTTGTAGCCCCCGCTGGCCTTAAACTCACAAAGATCCTCCTGCCTCAGCCTCCCAGGAGTGCCGGGATTATAGGTGTGCACCACCACACCCAGCTATTTATTTTTGAGTAAGGGTCTATCTACATGATACATGCTTGCCTTGAACTCACTATGCAGCCCAAACTGGTTTCGTACTCACAGTGATCCTCCTGCCTCAGCCTCCGAAGTGCTGGGACTATAGCTGTGTGCAACCACACCTGGCTCTATGTTTTATTTATTTATTTTTTTGAGCTGAGGTCTTGTTACATTGTTCAGGTTGGCCTACAACTCATGATTCTTTTGCTCCAGCCTCTTAAGTAGCAGGGGTTCATATCACCTTTAAACAAATAAATAAAACTTGGGAGCTCTGCTCTGAAAGATAACACTATACTGTGAAGAAGGCAGGATTAGAACTCACCACCTAAACTACCAAGTCTCTGGGTTCACTTCAGGTCAGCACAGGACATGACCCCACCTGCAAGGGACAATCTGTGTCCACAAAGCTCCAGGGAGCCTCGTACCTGATCACGTCCAGGAAGACATCTGTGTAGTACACCTTCCCGTCCACACTGTCATAGTCCAGAGAGATGACATTGTTGAGCTCGGGGACAGGGACATGCACGTCGGTGTGGTCGCTGGTGTCTAGCGAGATTCGCCGGATGGAGCCGCGGCTGGAGAAGAGCAGGTAGGTCTCAGGGGAGGGGTCGCAGGTCCTGCCGTCCGCCTTCAGCTGGATGCCGGTGGGGCAGGCGCAGGAGAAGCCAGAAGGCCGAGGCAGGCAGAGGTGGGAGCAGCCGCCGTTTCTCGAGCCACACTTGTTAAGACCTGGTTGTGAGAGGGAAGCACAGGCATTCACGCCCCGCCTGGAACAGTGCCTGAGTCTCACAAAGGAGTTTCCCAGATTCAAGTCTGGCGCGGGCGAGACAGAAGCATCTCTGAATCCTTTGGAGGTGATGGCATCCAGCCACCCGCAAAAGGAGCCCAGCCTGATCCTGGAAGGAGGCTGAGGCAAGACCCTTTCTCTCTGCCTATGCAGAGTTCCACGCTCTGGATATATTTCTGCTATGGAGGCAGCCCCAGAAATCCAGAGGCTCCGACTCACAGCCCAGGGGTCTTCTCACCCAGTGGCTGTGCCCGGTCCACAGCCTGGATGTCCATGAGGCCTGGCAGGTTGGACCTCACCAGGATGACATTGCCGCCAGTCCCCTTGTCGGCGCGGTGGATGCTACGGGTCTGCCAGTCAGTCCAGTAGATGTAGGAGTCCAGCAGGGTGAGGCCATACGGGTGCTGCACCGGCGACACCAGTGTGTGTCGACTGCCACCATTCAGGTCAGCAGCCTCGATTCGCTGCAGGGGAAGAAGGCAGGTGTGCAGGGGGTGGGGTGGGGGTGGGGTGGCTGTCAGTTGACTGGGATTCTCCAGCGGGGGGCCTCTCCCATCTCCCCAGGCTTCCAGAGGCAGCGGGCCAGGCTCTCACCTCGGTGTGCGCATCGGCCCACAGCAGCTGGGAGCTGGCCTTGTCCACTGTCAGCCCGTTGGGCCAGCCGAGGTTGTTGCTGATGAGCACGGTGCGCTCAGAGCCGTCCATGGCGGCCCGCTCCAGCTTGGCGTTCTCCCCCCAGTCCGTCCAGTACATGAGCCTGTAGGAGGGGGGACGCGCTGAGCCTTCCTGACCCCTGGGCGCCTGGAGGACTCGCAGTGGGCTGGACTCCCTGCAGAGTATGCGCGCGCATCCCTCGTCCCACTCAGTCCTCATAGGGGCATGCGCTGCGTGCTTTCACCTCCGCTACGCGGGCTGAGGGCCAGAGCGGTTAACTACAAGGCCCAAAGTCATGCAGCTGTTACACGATGAGAAAATGTAAATCCTTATTTGCCGGCTCTGAAACTCGTGCTTTTTCTATTTGTGTGTCTGTTTGTTTGTTTTGAGACAGTCTGTGTAGTCCAGGTTGGCCTCCAACTCAGTGATCCTCCTGCCTCAGCTTCCCAAGTGCTGGGATTACAGGCATGATCCACCACTCACGCTCTTAACCGCTACACTATCCTGCCACCCTCTTAAAGTCACGAGGGAGGGGAACAGCATCCCTGTGACACGGGCTCATTTTCCACTGCCTCCCTTACCCCCTCCGTCCCCCAGCTCAGCTGACCCCTCCTGCTACCCAGAGCGACAGAGCCAGCTCTCACCCCATCTCGTGATACAGCACGATGGCCCGCGGGCTGTCCAGGTTCTGCCACACCAGCACCTTCCGCATGGACCCATCTAGGTTCCCCACTTCAATCCGGTTCGTTCCAGTATCTGTCCAGTACACTTTGCGGCCGATGGCATCCACTGTGAGGCCATCTGTCGTCTGCAGCCCTGAAGGAAGGCAGAAGAGCGCCATTGCCCCTGCTGTAGGGCAGATGGGCTATTTCCCCAGCTCGGCGGGCAGACAGGAGGTACTTGGGCCAGGAGCAAGTCCCACCTGTCGTGATGATGTCCTCGTGCCGTGAGCCGTCCAGGTTGGCCCGGCTGATCCTGTGCAGCGTGCTGTCAGACCAGTACACTTTTCCTGCAGAGGGAAGGTCTGGCTCAACCCGGGCCTCCCCTCCCCCCACGGCACGCACAGCTGACTCTGACCTGAGACACCAGAGTGTGCCAGAAAGCCCTATCCCCCTCACAGAAGCAAGCGAGGGAAGTGGAGAAATATCACAGCCCTGGACAGAGAGGAACAGAGGAGAGCCCCAAGCCCACAATCCGCAAGTCCTACAGACACAGGGACAGGGCATGGGCAGCCCCCAGGCTCGGAGCAGGCGGCAAAGGTGTGGGAAAGCAAGGACGGCAGCTGCTGTCAGGCAGGGACAGCGGGCCAGGTGGGGAGGGAGGGCTGCACAGACCTTCCTGGGGGTCCACGCCAATGGCAATGGTGTTCTTCATGGTAATGTTGATCGGCACCACCACGTCGGCAAAATAAGGGATGTCCAGCGAGACCATGCGCACGTCTATCCTCCTGGCGAAGATGAGGAAACTGTTCATGCCTGTCCAGACGGAGAGAGGAAGGACAATCGCTCTAGCAGGGCCGTTCTGAGGGCTTAGAGTCAGGCAAACTGAAGCTCACACCGGGACCCTGCCAGCTTCCAGCTCTGTGATCCAAGGTAAGTCACTGGAATGACACAAGCCTGCTTCCTGGTCTATAGAGTGGGGACAACAACTGTAAAGTGGCTGTTAGGGTAAAAGAGATCATGTGCATAAAGCACTGAGCATTCGCTCTCACTCAGGTCCACAAATGCTACCTCTTCATTACTGTTATGGAAGCAGCTCTCTTCACAGGACCCTTTACCATGAATCATAATAAAGGGCTGGGGCATGGTGGTGCATGCCTGTAATTCCAGCACGCAGGAAGCTGAGGCAGGAGGATTGCCATGAGTTTGAGGACAGCTTAGGAGACACAGGGAGATCCTGTCTCAAAAAAAAAAAAAGGATGGCTTTACACTGTAGGAGGCACTCAAATTTCCCCAGAGGTCAGTGTTCAAGGGCAAGTTACCCAGTGAGAAATCTTGACTTCCAACCCCTGGCTAGCCAGGTCCTGCTTCTGGGACCATCCCACAAAGCTGTCGTGTAAGTTATGCTCTGATCAGGTCCATGTTTCCCAGATGAGAGGAAGTTGTCTTGAGACAAGAGCATCTTTGCTCATATGCAGGAAGACCTCACAAGAACCGGGGTTCCTGCCTGTCTGTGTGCTCCCCTGAGCCACCCCTGGTCCCCTGCCCTCTTCTAAGAGCTCTCAGTCTCCCCCCTAAGCCTCTGGAAGGAAGCACCAGAACTCACAATTGCTCAGACCGCACCAAAGCCCATTTGCCGAGGAGAAAGACAGCTACTTCCCATCATCTGGGGCTGTGACGCCCCCCTCTGGCTCACCTGGTGAACACATCTTGCCACCAGGCAGCAGGTTGATGCCCGTGGGGCAGGTACAGCTGAAGCCACTTGGATTCGGGGAGCGAAGACACAGGTGGCTGCAGCCGCCATTCTCCACAGCGCATGGCGTGCTCACTGTGTGAGGAGGAAGGGGTCAGTGGGGGCAGGCTAGGGGCTAAGAGGGCTGAGGAGACACCACCGCGGGCTAAGGGAAGTTCACCTGGGGGCCGCCGCCGGTGGAAGACATGGATGTCCATGAGATTCTCCAGGTTCTCCTGCAGGGTCTCCCGGTCCAGCCCGGTCAGCCGGTCGGCGCTCTGGATGCTCTTGGTCTGCCAGTCCGTCCAGTAGATGCGTTCTCCGTAGAGGGTCAGCCCAAAAGGGTGAGGCAGCTGGCTTCCGATGAGCACCTGCCCGGGGACCACACTGGAGTCATCAATAGGCTCCGACAGTAAGAGGCAGTGGGCAAGAGCTCAGCGGGGAGTCAAGGTGTAGGTCTGCCACCGCCACTCCCGCCTACCATGTGACCTTGACCAAAAAGTAATTATACAGTCTCTTGAGCCTTGGTCTACCGATTAGGACCATGATGATGCCTGCTCCAGTGAATGTGGTGGTTGTAAAAGATCATGTAGTCCTCACGTAACCTCGAAGCGTCTCAGCACAAATGGAAAAGTAGCAACTTCACGCTGGACATCTACATAACCATGCAATCAAACTAGCTCTTACAGTAGCAGAACAAGCAGACATCTGCCCCTACAGATGAGACATACTGAGAACTCAGGACACAGCTGTGCTTACTGTAGCACTCTTTCCTCAAGTGCACCATCTGAATCCAGCCTCAAAGAAACCTTGGACAAACCCAGACCGAGAGGCATTCTAGGAAGTAACTGGCTTTACTTTTTTTTAAACGCAAAAGTCAAGAAAGACAAAGAGGTCCAAGAAGTGTTCTAGATTAGAGATTAAGAGATGAGATCACTAAACACAACAGTGATCCTAGCTGGATCCTGGAGTGAAAGACAAAAAGCAATAAAAAGCCATAAAGGCACCGTCAGGAAAGCTGGTAGTGACACTGAACAGGGATTGTGGGTTATACAGTAATACTGTGTGAATGTCAGACTTCCTAGTTTTGATAACTGTACTATGGTTATATAAGAAACTGTCCTTGTTCTTAAGAAATACGCATTGGAGTCAAGGATAAGATGTTGCCAATTTAACTTCAGATGGTTCAGGAAAACAATGGTGTGTGTGTGTGTGTGTGTGTGTGTACCAACACAGAATGAAAATGGTAAAAAATGTGGGAAAATGTTAGTTACTTATTCTTTTCACCACTTTTGCAATTTTTCTGTAAGCTTAAAAGCTTAACAAAGTAAACAATAACACAAACAAAGAGATGGAATCCTCAGGGCTCCAGCATGCAGCTGATGATCAGTTAGTGTTCCTTGTGATGTTGATAGGAGAGGTGTGTGTATCCTCACTCCCAGCCCCCAGTCCACACAGACACCTAGCGTCATGGTTTATACCTAGATGGTCCCCACGAGCCTCATTGCTCAGAAGTGGGACTTTGGGGTTTTTTTGTTTGTTTTTTGAGACAGGGTCTTGCTATGCAATTCAGGCTGGCCTTGAGCTCACTTTATAGTCCAGGCTGGTCTTGAACTCACAGCAATCCTCCTGCCTCAGCCTTCCAAGTGCTGGGATTATAGGTGTGCACCACCACGCCTGGCTCAAAGTGAGACTTTGGGAAGGTGACTTCATGACGAGGTTGTAGCTGACTGGCTGCTAGGAAGCGGGGTCTGATTGGAAGCGGAGCGGCCGGGGCTGCCGTGGGCAGAGCCTGGAAGGGTGCATCTCTCTCCCAGCACCTCCATTGGCTCTCCGCTGCCAGCCTGTGAGTCTCTGGGTAAGCAAGCAGCTCTCCCCCACCAGGCCATTCCACTGTGCCTGCCTTGGAGCCAGCCAACTATGGACTGAAATTTTTTTTGTGCTGGGGATCGAACTCAGGACCTTGTGCTTGGCAGGCAGGCACTTGTGCCACTGAGCTATATCCCCGGCAGTATGGACTGAAACGTGAGCCAACATGAACGTCTACTCCTTCATGCTGTGATGCTAGTTATTGTGTCTCCGTGACAAGAATAGGACTAAGATACTCAGTTCACTTTCATCATCAACCCACAGCCCCCACCCCGACCCGGCTGCAGACGGCAGCCACAGCCTCACAGAAGCAGCATGGGCTCCACGCCGGCGGCAGGACCACTGGACCCCCGGCTCCTGTCACCTGCCAGCCAATGAGTAATGTCACTGTGGAGGCTGTCAGGGCGGGGGGTACCTGAGTGCCACCCCTACCTTCCTGTTGCTGCCGTCCAGGCCAGCAAACTCGATGGTCTTCATGCCAGCATCAGCCCAGTACAGCCGCTGGGACCCGTAGTCGATGGCCAGTCCATTGGGCCAGGTCAGGTTGGAGGAGATGATGACCTGACGAGCGGAAGCATCCATGCCAGCACGCTCAATCTTGGGACTCGCACCCCAGTCGGTCCAGTACATGTACCTGGGCACAGGTGAGGCAGGTCTTACACTTAATACCCAGTGGGATCCAGGCTACCTCGGCCTTTGGGCTTTCTGCCTATAGTAGTTACTCCTGCCTCACCTGCCCAGTCCAGCCCAAGGCTCAGACCAGTCCCTAAACACCTTGTATCACTACTGAAAGAGACCCCAGGGTCTTGATAAAGCCACAGCCCATGGCCGAAGAGTACACAATAAATGAGGCCCACTTGGGAATAAAGAAGGAAGCCAGGTGTGATGGTACACACCTGTAAACCCAGTACTCAGGAGGCTGAGGCAGGAGGATCTCCACAAATTCAAACCTGGGCTACACAGTGAGTTCAAGGGCAGTGTGAATTACACAGTGAGGTCTTATCTCAAAAACAAGGGAGAATGAGGACTAAGAAATGTTTTCTTGACTGCATGGGTTAAATAATTATGGTATTTAAATTTAACAGAACTCTACATAACCATGAAGAAGAACAAAGTGGAACTATATAACGGGAAGATATACAAGCCAATAAAAAACTCCCAAAACAATGTTATTTTTGTGAAAACCAAAACCACTACAGCTAACAAAAAGAAATATTTATATACATTTAGAAGAAATTCCATAAAGAATATACCAAACTGTTAACAATGGTTATTGCCAGAGTGAGACTATAGAGAATTTTCACTTTCTACAGACTTTTTTTGTTTTTGTTCTTTGAGATAGGGTCTTGCTACGTAGCCCAAGCTGACCTCGGACTCGGCAGTGATCCTCCTGCCTCAGCCTCCCCAAATGGTGAGATTATAGGGGTATACCACATGTCCAAGCAATGAGTTACTTTTGTAAGCAAGCAAAGATAAGACAAGAAAGCCTGTAAAAGGTTTCCTTGTCCAGAAAGGAAGCAGGGTGGCCACTGTCCTTTGGCCCCCCACAGTTGGCCTGGCTTCCTGGGCATACCCATTACACGGGCTGCTCACACTAATTAATCCCAGATGCCCTCAGGAGTGCAGGGTGGAGGTTGGGAGCTCCGAAAGGACAGCGCTCACCCGCCCATGGGTTCCACCACAATGTCCCGAGGGCGGTCCAGGTTCTCCCAGATGATGACAGTCCGCATGCTGCCGTCAGTATTGGCCACTTCAATCCGGTCTGTACCTGCCGAGAAGTCAGGCAAAGAGATCAACTCCAGTCTCGTTCCTTTCGCCCTTGGGTCCTCCATGCCCAGCAAGAGCCTCCTATGCAGAAGGCCCTCATCAAAGACTTTTCGGTAGACACACGATGGATATTTAGTTAACTGAACCATGGGAAGAAATTCAAGGTGTGATCAGTTTCACCTCGGCAACGAGCTCTGTCCTATAAGGCAATGATTCTCAAATTGTAATGGAAGAATCAGAAGAGATTGTTAAAATGCAGAATTCAAGCCTCGAAGAGTTTGATTCAGTAATTCTGGGTGTGGCTCCAGAATTTGCTTTTTTTTTGAGACAGGGTCACCCTCTGCAGCCCAGGCTGGCCTCAAACTCACAGCAATGCTCCTGTCTCAGCCTCCCGAGTGCCAGAGAATTTGCATTTCTAACAATTTCCAGGGTAGGCTGACAGACAGCGCTGCTGCTCTAAGGACCACACTTTCAGACATTTCTCTCGCCTTCCTTTCTACACCCACATGGCTAACAGAAAGTGCCCGCTTTACCTAGACAGCAGTGGAATAAAACCACAGGGCATGGGTTCATCATCTGAAATGCCTTGAGACGTTTCCAAGCACCAACTATGCCGCAGAAGTAGCTGCTGTTTGACTAACAAGTGCCAAACCCTCAGTCCTACCAAGGACTTCAGGTAGAGACGACACAGTCCAGGAGGGGAGGGCCAGGCTGCGGAAAAGAGGAGCCTCTGGCAGCCAGGCCACGGTGCCCTGGTACACACCTGCGTCTGTCCAGTACAGCTTGTTGGTGACCCAGTCGATGGCCAGGCCGGCAGGGCTCTCCAGGCTGGTATCCACTACCACCTGGACAGGAAGGAAGTCTGTGTCACCCACTGCACTTCCGCTCCAGCTGTGCAGCCCAAGCCCCGGCCGTTCCCAAGGAGAGGGTGGCTCACCCTGCCCCCCGGCCTGCGCCCTCCAAGGGCTGGGTCGCGCTGGGCCCTACCTCCTGTCCCGTTCCATCCCACTTGGCCCTGCTGATGGTATCAGTGCTGACGTCGGTCCAGTACACGTGGTCATCCCGGGAGTCCCAGTCAAGGGCCACAGCGCTGCGCACGTCAGCCAGTGGGATGACATCGTCGGACAGGTCCTCTGTGTCGAAGCTGATCCGACGGATGTCCATCCTTCGGGCAAAAAGCAGGAACTTGTCAAGACCTGATCAAAGGCCGAGAGGGATCTTCTTTTAATGCTCTACATCCAGTAAGAGTGACAGACACACTCGCTCAGCTGGGCGCCACCTGGCTCAGTCACACTTCCTGGGGCCTGGTGCCCTTTGCCCCCTACTTTTCATACCATGGTCCCCTCTGAGTCCTGGGGGGCAGAAATGGACTTTGCCAGGGCACAGAAGGATGTACTGCTTGGGAGTCTGTCAGCTTTGCCTGAATTTTTCCGCCCTCTGATTTCTCACAAACATTTCAGGTGCCCTGGCTGGATTGGCTCCGACTCCCTGGCCCTGTCCTGGTCTGTCTGAGTACATTCCCAGAACACCTGGGCCCTGGCATCTGTAGGGTCCTGGTTGCAAGATCCCCACAGATATCCAAATCCATAGATAGTCGAGTTGTCTAACATGGCATGGTGTTTGCACACAACCTGTCCGCATCCCTCTGTGTACTTAATTTGTTTGGTTTTTGTCGCAGGATCTCGCTATGTAGTCCAGGCTGGCCTAGAACTCACTATATAGCCTAGACTGGCCTTGAACTTGGGATCTTTCTGCCTCAGCCTCCCAGATTACAGCCAAGTTATAGCTATGTGCCACCATATCTGGTACCAATTTTTTTTTTTTTTTTGAGACAGTGTCTCACTATGTAGTTCCGGCTGGCCTTGAACTCATGATGGAGCCCAGGCTGGCCTTGAATTCACCGTGATCCTCCTGCCTCAGCCTCCCGAGTGTTGGATGACAGGCCTATGCTATTACACCCAGCTGGTATAACTTTTAAAAAATGTAGTTTTGCTATATAGTTGTTTGAATGTACAAGTACAGAATTTACAGATATGGAGGGCTGACTATATACTTTTCTACCCAGAAAGGTACTTCCTGCCTAATTTCACCAACTCTGTCCAAGCTCTTGCACCTCACAAAAATAATAGAGCAAGAGCTGGGCACAGAGGAACACAAAAGGAAAACACATGGCATGAAACTAGGCTCTCAACCAGTGTGTCTTTGAATGGCCTCTCTGAATATTTTCCCTAAGTGCATTCTCTGGAAAGGACACAGGTCCTGGGAGAATCTGATTCTAACCTAATCTAAGAGAGCTGGTGGGGTTCACGACAGGCAATAAGGTATGCAACAGACATGGATTATCCCAGGCCCCTCGCTGCTCAGTCCACATGCCTGATCACTCCTCTCTGGACTACTCTCTGCAAAAGTCACCTAGGCTGTGAGCGCTCCAGGGTCGGCCTGGCAAGGTGATGACCCTGTGGGGGGGTCACTGGAGTGGTCCAAGAAGTGACGGGGATCCCACCATCTCTCACTGGTTAGACACATATTTACCCACAGCCTCCATACAGAGTATCATTAGAGGTCTTTTCTTTTTTGTTTTATTCATTTTTTTAGGATTTTTTTCTTTTTGGTGCCGGGAATCGAACTCAGGACCTTGCACTTGCCAGGCAGGCACTTGTGCTGCTGAGTTATATCCCTAGCTATTTTGTTTCTTTTTGAGACAGGGTCTCACTTTGTAGCCCAGGTTAGCCTCCAACTCCCAGTGATCCTCCTGCCTCAGCCTTCCAGGTGCTAAGATGACAAGCATGCACTATCACGCCCAGTGCTAGAAATCTTAATTCTGACTCCCTGGTCTAAGAGCTGAAAGAAAATGCTCAACAGGTAAAGAACTGGTCCTCTGGTCCCCGGGGAGCCCAGGGGTGAGATGTCCTGCTTGGGAGAATGCACCATAAGCCTGGTAACAGTTGTTCATCCTTGACTGGGCGGTATCCTGAGTGCAGCTCATAAACTGCTGGGTCCTCGGTGCCCAGCTTCAACATAGGATCCCTGAGCCTCTCAAGTTCTTTCTCTGCAGGGGCTGGCTCGGGAGTCCAGCTCCTCCCACCAAACCTCTCCCTCGTCCCTTCTACCCACTCTCACGAGGCCCCTGGCGAGTCAGGGGTCCCAGTCACTTACTCTGCGCACATGCATGGCTGCTGATCTTGCGGAAGCCCGTGGGGCAGGCGCAGGTGTAATTCTGGCCGCTGGGCAGACACAGGTGGGTGCAGCCTCCATTGTTGTCCCCACAGCGGTTTTTCCCTGCTCAAAGAGCACAGAGTAAGAGGCTCAGGTAAGACCAAAGGTTTGCAAAGGTAGCCAGGGAGGGAGGAAGTGTGTCCTATTACTCTTTCTATCTGCCCCAGCCACTAGCGCAGTGAGTTCCTGCTACCTAGGAGATGCTCTGGAAATGCCTGCATGAATTAGCAGAAAGTCCAAATCTTGATGTTGTAGTGCCCTAAATACCCAGCAGAGGGAGCAATGACCCTCCTGCATGCCAGCCCTGGACACAACCCCCTCCCCGCCCCAGGAAATGGCAACTAGGCAGGACCAGCAAGACCCAAGGGGCGTCTCACCTGCAGGCTGGCGCTGGGGGTGCAAGGTGTGAATGTCCATGGGGAAGTGCAGCTTGTTGCGAATGATCTCCTGGTTCTTCCCAGTGAACTTGTTGGCACTGTTGATGCTCTTCGTGTGCCAGTCTGTCCAGTACAGGCTGTCTTCAAACACAGTGATGGCAAAGGGGTGCGGGAGGCCTGGGGACCGTCCAGAGAGACGTCGGTCCAGACACGGCCTGCGTGGCCCTGGGCCCACGCTCGGCAATGACACCCACCTCGCCCTCTGCCAAGGCATCTGGGGGGCAGGGACAGGAAACAGGATGAGAGGTGACGGCGGCCGAGGGAGGGACTCACCCTGACTGATGACTGCCTTGCGGTGACTCCCGTCCAGGTTGGCCCTCTCGATGACGTGGTGCTTGGCGTCCACCCAGTACATCCGGCGCCCGGCGTAGTCGATGGTGAGGCCGTTGGGCCAGAAGAGATGGGTGTCGGCAATGATGCGCCGTCCAGAGCCGTCCATGCTGGACGCCTCGATGCGGGGGGTGTTGCCCCAGTCTGTCCAGTAAATGGTGCTAGGAGGACAGAGTGGGGGACTGAGGCTCGGGGGCCGGGGACAGACAAAGATTAAAGCAGGATAGTTACCAGAGCAGAGCCTGCTAACCACTTAACCCAGGGGGTCACGACTGCTGCCAGAGAACGCTTCATATTTATAAGATTTTACTTATTTGAAAGAATTCTTTTGGCAGTTGAACCCAGGGCACCAAATCCAGGCCTTGCCTATGGTAGGCAACCCCTCTATCACTGAGCTACATCTCCAGCCCTAAAGAGTGTTTTTTTGTTTTGTTTTGTTTTGTTTTTTTGGTCTTTTTGAGACAGGGTTTCACTATGCATGGTCTTAAGTTCACTTTGTAGCCCAGGTTGGCCTCGAACTTGCAGTGATCCTCCTGTCTTCGCCTCCTGAATGCTGGGATTACAGATGTGCACCACCATGGCTTTTTGTTTGTTTTTGGAGACAGGGTCTCACTATGTAGTTTAGGCTGGCCTTGAAATTGTGGAGATTCTCCTGCCTCAGCCTCCTGAGTGCTGGGATTACAGTTGTGCACCACCATACCTGGCTTGAGACAGGCCCTTTCTTTTTCATCATGAGCTCTTCTGCTGTCTTGTCTAATTTACATATAACTTTTCACACGCATACCTCCCACACTATCCACCCACCCACTACACAGACACACACAGTTTCTAAAACAGCTGATACACATCTGCAAGCTGTTACAAGATGTCCCTTTGTTGCCAGCGCTAAATTTTTAAAAGCCAAGAGCTAACAACTTCCATTTCAACAGACTTCAACCCAGTAAACTTTCCTACTGCCTTTTTAATTGTTTTCAATTAAAGATAATTTTTATCAATTAGCTTCACTATTAACTTTTTAATTATTTTAAATTACTAATAATTTTTATTAATTAGGCCAACCCTATGAGCTAATAATAAGAACACTAAGCACTTAAGCCTCACCTAATGCATGTATTATATGCCATTTAAAGGGTATCATCTCGATGGTCACACAACTATGAGGCAGAGGCTTTTTCATTTCTTTCTCCTTTTTCTGTTTTTTAATTTTGTTTTTTTGAGACAGGGTCTCACTCTGTAGCCCAGGCTGGCCTCGCTCTCAGGGAGATTCTCCTGCTTCAGCCTCCTGAATGGTAGGATTACAGGAGTATACTACCGTACCTGGCTTTTTCCTTTCTTTTTTTTTTTGTTTTTTTTTCCCCTGTACCAGGAATCGAACTCACGACATCACACTTGCCAGGCAGCCGCTGTGCCACTGAGCCAAATCCCCAGTCCCGCTTTTTCTTTTTTTAATTACCAATTAACCAGCCCAAGGCCACGTGACCAGTTGCTGCAGGTGCAGGACGCTGGACCAGCAACGTCTGGGGGCAGAGTCTACCTAGTTAACAACACACATTGAGGACCGCCCCATAAAGCCCTGTCCAGGTGGCCTGGACACAGTCCCTCCCAGGCAGCAAGAAGAATCTGGGTGCCTAAGACACAGCCCACTCACCCCTCCATGGGGTGCAAGGCGATGGCCCGGGGCTTCTCCAGGTTCTGCCACAGTAACACCTTCCGGTGGGCCCCGTCCAGATTGGCCACCTCGATGCGGGACGTCCCTGAGTCAGTCCAGTAGAGTTTGTCATGGACCCAATCCACAGCCAGGCCCCCTGGGGAGAAGCGGAGGTGGGATGGTCTCAGGGACCCAGCCCGGCCCTCTGTGCCTTGGTGGTTGCTGAGAACCCTGCACAGAGCAGTGCTTGGCTGGGGCCTGCCGGAACCACACTACAGCCACTGCCCAGCCGAACCGCCAGGGCCCTGCAAGCAGGGCGCGTCCACCCCGTGACAATGAGGAGACGCAGGTGGTGAGCAGTCCAGCAGCTGCCCCAAGGTGCACATTTCCCCCTCATAGAGAACGCACCCTGCCCCACGCATCCAGGGTGCCCCAGTGTAAACTGGGGGTTTGCAAACTGTCACCTAAGGCTCTGCAGAGGCATTTCCGAGGTTCCCAGGACATCTGAGCCAACTGACACCAGGTTCTTTCCCTTTAGGGCAGCTCTGAGGGTGGAACCTGGGGTCTGGTGCCTGCTAGGCAATCTATCACTGAGCATGAGCTGCAGCCCTCAACACGAAATTCTGATCCACTTCTCCTGCTTTTCCACTAGCCTGAGACTGCCAAGGTAGCTGTTGGTATTTTTTAAATCTGTAAAACATCGATGTACTTATCCAGGTGAATCAAAAAAAATATTTTTTTTCTTGGCAGTACTAGGGATTGAACCCAGGGCCTTCACACTGAGCTATAACTCCAGCCCTTTGTTTTTCTTTATTTTGAGACAGGGTCTGGGCTACATTGCCCAGGCTGGGCTGAAACTTGCAATCCTCCTGCCTCAGCCTCCAAGAGCACTAGGATTACAGGTGTATGGACTCACTATTTTTTTTTTTTTCTTTTTTTGGAGACAGGGTCTCACTATGTAGTTCAGGATAGCCTTGAACTCACAATGTAGCCCAAGCCAGGCTGAGACTCATGGCAATCCTCCTGCCTCAGCCTCCTGAATGCTGGGATTACAGGCGTGTACCACCATGCCTAGCTATATTCTTAATACTAAACAATCAAAATCAGAAGTAAACCGGATGCTGAGGCTAATAGAGGACCATAACTATTAGCCATAAACTCCTGATTCTAACTATGATAATTATCCAAGTTCATGTCTGAAGCTAAAACAAAATAAAAAAATCAATATATACTAACAAATACTTTTCCCACAGGTATCCCACCCAGGGTTTCTCTGTTAGAGAGATGTTCCGGGGCAGGTTTGCAAATACCCTACCGTGCGCACATGCGCGCGCCCACACACACACACACATACACACACAGGGCCTCCGCCCTACCTGGGCTCTCCAACCCGGTAGACACCACCTCCTCCACGTTGCTGCCATTGAGGTTTGCACGCAGGATCCGGTCCAGGGTGACGTCGGACCAGAAGACGAGCTCGCGCCGGTGGTGGAAGTCGAGGGCAATGGCGTTCTCCAGGTTGTTGAGCAGCAGCGTGTACTCGGAGCGGTGCGGCAGCACCTGCCGGATGTCGATGCGGTTGGCGAACAGCAGCACTGGCTCTGGCCCTGGGGCGCGGCATAGAGACGGGGTCCACAGTGGGCAGTTGGAGCTGCAGCCCCAGCTCTGCAGCGGGTGAGGGGCCACCTGACCCTTTGACTCCCCAACCTGCCGCATCCACACCGGAAGAGGGGAGACTCCCCTCCCCCGCCTGCCCCCGCAGCTTTCCTCGACATCCAGAGGCAACCTGCAGCTCTGTGGTACAGAGCGGGAAGTCTCTCTGCCTCCGAGTGAATCCCTGACTCTGGGACACCTGGCCTTTTTCTGCCTTGTGCTTGTGGCCAGCTGGGGGGCCGGGTCCTCACCCAGAGCCTTGCAGCTGCGCCGGTCGGGCCGGAGCTCGTAGCCTGCTTCACACCAGCACTGGAAGGCTCCTTCACTGTTGGTGCAGCCCTGACTGCAGTACCCCTCCTCGGCACATTCGTTCACATCTGTGAACACGGGCAGGGTCAGGAGGGCTGCCCCTGCCATCCCTGCACCCCAACTCCCCGCCTGACTAGCTGTTTTCCTGGCCAAGTTCCCATCCACTTCCTGGTCTGGTGGAAAGCATAGGTAGCAAGTAGTTAAGGGCTTTGGGGTTGTGCACACCTGGGCTGGAACCCCAGCTCTGCTCCTCGCTAGCTGTGTGACCTTTGCTAAGGTCCTGGGCCCCCGGCTCCCGCTCTGTGCAAAGGGAGGGCTACCTGCACTCCTTAGTTTGACTGCGATGCATGAAACAAGGTTGCACCCATCCAATGCCTGACTCAGAGGAAACAATCGCCTACCTGCTGCCCCCACTCAGCCTCCTGTCCCGGTGCCCCCCCGGCCGCGCTCACCCTGGCACGCACGTCCGTCCTCTGTGAGCCGGTAGCCCGTGTGGCAGGTACACTGCACTGCCCCTCGCACCATCTGGCACTTCTGGGCGCAGCCGCCGTTGTTAACGTTGCAGTTTTCTTCACCTGTCCGGGGCCCTGTGCCAGCCAAGCCAGAGTTGGGACTGAGCCCAGAACCCTCCCCTAGACAGCTGCCTCGGTTCCACCCGGGCCACGAAGACCAGCTCCCAAAGCTGCGAGTGGCCCTGGGGAGGATTCCCTGGGAAGCCCTGGGGTGAGGTTCAGCCACAAACTTCCGGCCAGCCCCGAGCCCCCGGGGGACACTTACGGCAGTTCTGCTGTGGGCTTTCGTCGCTGTTGTCTCCGCAGTCGTTGACCCCGTTGCAAAGCTTCCTCTGCCCAATGCAGCGCCCGTTCCAGCACAGGAACTGATCAGAGGCGCACTGGGGGCTTCCTAGAGCGGGAGAGGGAGCAGAGACAGGTCACTGCAGGGCAGGGCTCGGGTCAGCTCAGGACAGAAGCCTGTCGCTATCTAGGGCATAGCTGCAGTCAGAGGAGACTCTAGGAGGGAGGGCTGGGGTCCGAGGCGGGAAACAGCTCAGAGGAGGCCCACTGAGCGTCTGCGTTCGCCCAGGGGGAGCAGAGCTCCTTGGCGTTAAGTGTGAGCGGAGGAGCGGCCCTCAGCCCCGAGCCTGTGTCCCGGCCACGCTGTCGTGCTCTGCGTGGCTCTGAGGCTGTGGACTTGTATCCTGATAGAGCCTCCCCGCGCACCCTCTTGCCACCATCTCTGCACCCCAACTGCAGGCTAGGGGCCCTCGGGCAGTCCCCGGAGACCCTACCTGTGTTCTCACAGTTCTCCTCGTCACTGTTGTCGGCACAGTCATCCTCCCCGTCACAGCGCCAGGACAGGCGGACGCAGCGGCCGGACCGGCAGCGGAACTGTTCCGCCGTGCACACGGAGGTGGCTGGCAAAGCAAAGGGGTAATGAGAGGCTGGCCCTTCTTCGCTCTGCTGCCCAGGCTGCTCTCCTGGATGCCAATGTCACAGGACACTTCACTGCCATCTGCTGGAAAACTGCCACGATGAGTCATCTGCCATGTGGCTGGCATTCCTTTGGACATAGTGCCTCTGTGCAGTGCACGACCCTACGAACTGTGCATGGTGGTTGTTATGGTTTAGATCTAGCAGTCCCCCGAACTTCTCTCATGTGTTTGGAAGGTGACAGCCATGAGGGCTCTGTATTCATCAATGGGTTCATTATGAATGAGTGTAGTAGCAGAATGTGCTCTAGGAGGTAGGGCCCAGTTGGAGGCGGGGCCCGGTTGGAGGCGGTCACTAGGGGCGTGGCCTGGAAGCGGCCTTCTTCTCCCAGGCTCCTCCCCGTCTCTCTGCTTTCTAGCTGCCCTGGATTGAGAGCCTTTTCTACCATGGCCCTTCTACCATGCCTTTCTTCTTGGAGCACGGACCGAAACCACAAGCCCAAATAAACCTGCGCTCCTTGAAGTTGTGGGTGCCAGGGGTTACTTCCCAGTGACGAGAAGTGACGAAGACGGCGGCCCAGTCCACCATGCCCTCCAGCAGTATTGGTGGTGGCCCGGTTGGCCCCTCTGCCCGGATCCCCCACTCACTGCAGTTGCGCTCATCAGACTGGTCGTCGCAGTCGGCGTCACCGTCGCAGCGCCAGCCCGCGTTGATACACAGGCCACTGTCACACATGAACTCCCCGGAGCGGCAGGGCTGGTGGGAGGCTGAGGGGACAGAGTCTTTCGTCTCCAGCCTGTCTGTGCGGCGTCCTGCGGTGCACCCGGGGACCCCAGCGCCGGCTCACCCAGCACCCCACCCCCTCCGCCTCTGCCCAAGGGACCTGGGCACCCGGAAGCCCCTCCCCTGAGCTCCTGCCCGCCTGGCACCCGCACTCGGGGGCCCCCTCCTCCCGGCACTCACAGCAGTCAGCCTCGTCCGACCAGTCCCCGCAGTCATCGTCGCCGTCGCAGTGGTAGATGTCCAGTATGCAGCGGCCGTAGGCGCACTGGAACTCCTCCAGGTTGCAGGGGGGCGCAGGCACCGCCGAGGCTGTGGGGGACGCAGGTGCGGACGGTGCTCAGGCCCGGCAGGAGGGGCCAGAAGCCTCGTGGGGCCCCTGAGTGACTGTACCTGGGCTCCACGCGGGCGGCCCCTTTTCAGGGGACCAACAGGAGCCTCCCCTGCCCACCTGTGCGCCTGCTCCTCCCCAGCTCGGCCCAGGACCCGCGACAGAACTGTGCTCTCTGCCGTGACAGGTGCTGCTCCGCGCGGCCCGGACCCGGGGTGGAGCCCTCGGCCCTCGCCCAGCCCCACAGCCCGACGCGGGGCCACTCACGGCAGCTCTCCTCGTCAGAGCCATCTTTGCAGTCCGCGTCCCCGTCGCAGTACCAGTGCTCTGCGATGCAGCTCCCGTCGCTGCAGCGGAACTCCTTGTCCGAGCACTTGCGCATGTCTGGGGGTGCGAGGGGGCGGCGTGCTGAACGGGCCGGGACAGCGCCCCTCCCGGTCCTCCCAGCCGGCCGGCCTCCCTGGCAGGACGGGGCCGGAGCCCACGCGCCTGGGCATCTGGGCGCCCTGCCCTCCTGCCTTCCTCCCCGCAGCTGCTCCAGATGTCCGGGCCGCCAGGGTCCTCTCCCCGCTCACCGCACTGCTCGTCGCTGTTGTCGCCACAGTCATTGTCGCCATCGCAGTGCCACAGGCTCCGGATGCAGTAGCCGTTCTGGCAGGGGAACTCGTCCTCCTCACACTCCCGGGGGGCTGCGGGCACAGAGCAGCAGTCAGGAGGCGCGCAGAGCTGGCAGCCCGACAGAAAGGCTTTGGGAGAGTCTGGCAGCTCCGTGCCACCCCTCGGGGACAGACAGGACAGCACAGAGTCGGAAGCCCAGGGCCTCTGGGGCCGGGGACTTGGCTTTCTCATGGAGAGCCCTCTCCCAACACTCACGGCAGTCCTGCTCGTCAGAGTCGTCCTCGCAGTCGTTGTCCCCGTCGCACACCCAGGAGCGGCGGATGCACTTGCCATTGTCACAGTGGAAGTCCAGCGGGGAGCAGGTGGGCAGCACTGGAAGAAAGAAGTGAGAAGGGTGAAGGTCAGGCGGGCCACGGGGGCTGCAAGCCTTCACACCCTGTTCCCGCCCGTGTCCGCCTTCAGCCCTTCCCCGGACCCCTCCCGTGACCGCACGGCGACGGATGAGGAGCTCAGCAGAAACTTCCACCAACCAAGGCTGAGCAGGGAATGTGGCAGGGATCCGCAGGGCGGTAGAAGAACCACCCAGACAGCTCTACAGGCAGACACTACAAAGCAGTAGGAGAGCCAGGTGCTCTTTTTTTCCCCCTTCCTCTTCTTGCATGATGACTGACATTTCTGGGCTCGATTTCCAGTTCTAGAACTCATTACTTATCACACTGAGCAATCGTTTACCTTCTCTGAGTGGTGGTTTCTTCGGCTGTACAATGGGGATAATTACCCTCTGCTGGAAGAGGTCTTTTGAGATAATGGATATGAAAATGAAGCATTCATCCCTGGTTAGGGTTAATGAAGTCCAGGTTGTAGCCTGGCTCCCATTAGACTAATTAGCCACCCTCAGACATAGATGCTGTAGGTGAGAGACTGCACCCCTAAGCTGAGACAACTGGCTTGGCAGCAATATTTATATATACAGAAGACAGGGTACCCTGTTACTATATTAAGGGAAGAGAAACATTAAATAGAGTGAGAGCTGGGTGTGATGGCACAGGCCTTTAATCCCAGCTCTTGGGAGGCTGAGGCAGGAGGTTCTCCACATTTTGGGAGCCAGCCTGGGCTACATAGTGAGTTCAGAGCCAGCCTGGACTACACAGTGAGACTCTGTCTCACAAAAAAAAAAAAAAAAAAAAAAAAGAGGAGGCATTTAAATGAATGAGATTTTCTACAAAGTTTACATTATTTACAAAAGGTGTGATTATACAAAATGAGAAACAGGGAAATAACCTGCACCTGTGTATAATCCATACATTTTAAAATATACATGTATTTCAATAAATGCAGAGCAATTTAAAAAGACCACCTGTGGTTTCAAGGGCATTTCCTTCTATACTTGTTACAACATTTGTTTTATTGGCAGCAGAGGTATAAACCACTCTACAAAAATACGGGACAGTTGGAGGTATATATGTTATCTGTCACACTAGCAGAAGTCTAACTCTCAGTGGGCTGTGGTGGCGTACACCTGTAATCCCAACAGTCAGGAGGCTGAGGCAGGAAGATCACCTCAAGTCTGAGACCAGCCTGAGCTCCATAGTGAGTTCAAGGCTAGCCTGAATTGCATAGCAACACCCTGTCTAAAAAAAAAAAAAAAAAAAAAAAAAAAAGAGAAAGCAAGCAAGCAAGCAAGCAAGCAAGCCAGCAGAGTTCAACGCTCTGAGTCCAACTCAGTGGATGGACAGAATGCTCTACAAGTCTTGTCCCCGGTCCCCCGCCAGGTGCTCTTCCATCCCCACTCCAGGGGCAGTACTTACTACACCCGTCCTCGTCGCTGTGGTCCCCACAGTCGTTGTCTCCGTCACACTGCCACTGGGCGGGGATGCAGGTGCATTCACCGAGCGCGCTCACTGTGCAGGTGAAGTGGCTCCGACCACACGCACACTCCGGGCTGCTGGCAAGGCCTGGGCAGGGGAAGGGACCGGGGTGGGCTCAGCTCCTGCTCAGACACAGCCCATCTGTGGGTAAGGGAGAGGGGCCTGGTCCAGGGGCACTGTCCCCCAGGAAAGTGTCTCCACAGTGACGCTGCAATGTCATCAAGCCTTCCTCCGGCTTGGGGCTCACAGGCAGCCCGGGGACACTGCCCCGCCAGGGCTTCTTCCATGGTACCTCCTGATGCCACCTGGGGGCTGAGGCTCAAGGAGCAAGGGAGCAGGGGACAGAGGGATGATCTGGAGAAGCCTCCCAAACAAGGTGGAGAAACAGATGCTTTTGCCCACACCCTGGACTCGGCCCTGGCAGGTTGGCCCTGCAGGGCTGGAAATACAGTGGAAGCTAAGGTACACTCACAGGAAGCGGGAAGCAGCCTGAGTTCCTCAGGCAGACCTTCCCTGGAGGAGGATGAGCAGGAGGAGTGGGGTCGGAGGTGGAGGGGATTGCGCCAGCCACCCTAGGCCTTCCTGTCCGGGGGGCAGGCTGCAACGCAGAGGAAGGCTGGCAGCCTGGCCCTCCCCAGCCTCACTCACGCAGCTGGGCTTCCCCACTGAGCATCCAGCTATCTGCCTGGCCAAGTCCCATGACCGGCTGCGGCGCCCCCTGCCCGGTGTGCCCAGCAGGATGCCCCGCGATGGCGTGTGAATGGCTCAGTGCCCCTGCTCCAGCCTCAGCTGGAACAAAGGGTTCTGCCAGGGTCACTCTCCCCCTCCCAGCGTTCATCGGCCCCGCTGGGCTGCTCGCAGCTGGGGAAAGAGGGGGCCAGGCTCAATGATCATCTCCCCCTTGCTTTTTTTGCTCTTCTCCCCTCAGGCTGGGCCGGAGTGGGTAAGAGTCATTTCTAAACTGCCACTCTCTTCCTGTACTATGGACCCGGCCCAGCTTCTCTCTCTCGATACACAGCCTTGCTTCCTGTGACAATTACAAGGCCTGGCCTAGGGCTCAGGGCCTAGGATGAAATGGGGTGCTGCTGGGACCCCCAAAAGTAAGCAGAGTGGCACAAGCCTATAATCCAGCACTCGGGAGGCTGAGGCAGGATGATCACTATGAGATCAAGGCCAGTCTGGGCTACATAGTAAGTTCAGGGCCAACCTAAACAGCACAGTGAGACTCTGTCTCATAAAAACAAAAATAATAATCACTTCTCAGCCTTTTAGCTAAGATCAAGTGTAAAAAAACAAAAATAAGGCCAGGACTATAGCTCAGCAGCATGGTGCCTGCCTGGCGAGCACAAGGTCCTGAGTTCAATTCCCAGTACCAAAAAACAAACAAACAAACATAAATAAATAAAGCAGAGAGCCCTAGGCCCCCTTCTCTCTGCTTCAATCCCAAGGGGAAGTGTGAACATAAGGCAGAGCTTCCTAACGAAGGATGGATGTGACCAACCTTTGGGATATGTGATTCCCTGAAGCCACAGGTAACATGTATGTTTCTGCGGAGAGAGAACCACACACTCCTACCAGAGCCCATCGGAGGTCTGGCCCCGCGCACACGCACACACGCACACACGCACACTCACATGACCAAGTACGAACTCAAAAGGAACCTCCTGCTTTAGAAAAGGTACAGCATTTCCTGTGAAGGCGAGGGAATCCACTTGGGAGGCACGGCGTCCTCCAGACCTTACAGGAAGGCCCAGCTGCAAGGCCCGAGCTCCTTTCTGCAAACTCGGGCAGATTCTTCCCTGCAGAGGCATCAGCAACCCAGCAGCCCAGCCCCCAACCCATGCTGTCCGCCTGTTGCAAGGAAACTAAGAAGAGACGAGGGCTTCTCTTGCGCCGGCCCTAGGCACAGAGTCTGAGGAACAACTGCATGGCACTGCACCCTTCCAGAGAACCCTGGCTGCGTTGAACAGACAAGAACACTCCTTGCAAGGATGTGACACGCAGGTCCCCTCGTGGCAAGGCCGGGGGAAGGGCGCAGGCTGAGGCAGTGGCTCTTGGCTGGGGATGCTTTTGTTCCGCAGGGGACATTTGACAACATCTAGGGACATTTTGCCGGCATCGCATAGAGAAGCCGGGGCGATGTACAGTGCACTCCAAGACTTGGCTGCAAATGTCAACAGGTTGAGAAGGGCTGGGAGTGACAGTGCCCCAGAAGGAAGCTCAAGGTAGAAGGGGATGAGGACAGAAAAAAGAAGCAAGCAGAGGAAAGCACACAGGAGCTGGTACACACCGGCCTGGGCTCCATAAACCCTGCGCAGGTCACTCAGCTCCCTAAGCCTTAGCATCGTCCTCTGGGAAAAGAAAGAAAAGCCACAAGGATTAGACAAGAAAACAAAGGTGAAAGAAACGCACCTTTCTCAAGGCACGCTGCAGGTGCTCAGTAAGCGGAGTTCGAGAGTACAGGGATGCAGGGGCTACATTTCCCCCCAGACCTTTGATTTTTAAGAACTTGAGCAGCAGGATGGGGACAGCGAGATCGGTAGTATCCTGGTGCTGCTTGCACGTGAGCAGAGTACAGGAGGTAGACAGCCCCACCCCCACTGTGGCTGAGTGATAACAGAAGTCCTGGTTCCCGGTGCTGACCTGAGGAACAAAACATTCCACAGGGCGGGCACCCAGCAAGTTGCAGGTGGCTGGAGAATCGTAACTTCCGGTTTGTCAGAGTCACTTCTGAAGCCAGCAGTGCAGGCTGGGCAGTCAGCGGCAAGGAAGCCCTTGTCCTGGGCATTCATACAGGAAGCAGACACATTAGACTCCCAAAAGCCGGATTTTCTGAACAACTGCTGCCTTCTGGGGTCCCCAGGGGTAGAATTCTGCCTTTTTTAGTTAAACCCTGGCTGTGATCGGAAAGGGCAGCTTTTAACCCTTTTAAGAGACAGAACGGTGAGAGAAGAAAGACAGCATTTGGGTGGCCAAATGCAGAGCCTTCACTTTAAGAAGCACTCAATCAGAGTCCTCAGCTATGTTTCGGCCTTGCTCGCTACACACTCTCTTGCTCCCCAAGGCGTTGACCCTTCCACAGAACACACATTCTGGACGCAGGAGACTAAGGTGGAAATCCTGGTTCTATCACCAATGCTGCAACTTTGAGCACGTTACTTAATATCTCCAAGCCTCACTTTGTTTATCCAGCAAATGGGAGTAAGCATAATTCTACCTCAGAGGGTTTGGGGAAGTTTAAATAATCTGCACAGACTTCTCAGCACAGGGCTGGCACACAGCAACAGCTTCATAATAATGCAATCATCTGGGGCTGGGGATTTAGCTCAGCGGCAAAAGCGCCTGCCTGGCAAGCGCAAGGTCGTGAGTTCGGTTCCCGGTACCGGAGAAAAACCAAAAAAAAAAA